CTGTCTCTGGTGAATCCTCTCACCCCAGGCACCTCTGTCCTACACCCTAGTTCTTCCACACACAAAAAAAGGAGCACACATAATCTACCATTCTAAGGCCTGAACATGCTTTAATTAATTTAATCTTTATTACAGTTTTAGTTTGTTGTTTTTTAAGTTTCTTTTAATTAACTTTTATTTTTGAATAATTTTAGCTTTACAGAAAGATTACAAAAATAGTAGAGTACCCTTAAGCCCCTTCATTCTGTTTTCCCTATGACAGTAGCTTATAAGACCAGTGTCTGTTTGTCAAAATTAAGACATCAACATCAGTACATCACTGTTTATTAAATTTTGGCATTTATTCAGATATTACCAGCCGTCCCATGCCAGACCTGCACTATCTTTACTCACCACAGCTCCTGATTCTCACAGGGCCTGTGATAATTTTTTCAGTCTTTCCTAATTTTTCATGACCTGGACAGTTTTGGGGTATATTCATCAGGAGTTTTGTAAGGTACCTATTATTTTTAATCTCATTAAACAGTTGAGGAAACTGAGGCACAGAGAAGTTAAATCCAAGGTCCATAACTAGCAAGCGATAGGGCATGATTCAGAGCAAGGAAGTGTGGCCGTGGAGCCTGCACTGGCTCACTGATCAGGCCGCGGCTCTGGTGGGGGCACAGGCCACACTGGTCCCAAGGTCAGCAGCTGGGAAGGCTTGGGGTCAATGACTGTTCCGGGTTAATGGGTGTCCTGAGAGACACACTGGAGTTCTGACTTGATTCAGTAAAAACAAGAATTTGGATCCATTCTAGAGCTCTGAGCAATTCAATTTGACTAATGTTTACAGAGGATGTGAAGCCTGACAGAGGTGCAGTTTGTGTGGAGGGAGAGGCCAGGAATTCTTGACTCTGGATTGAGGAGGGGCTGTGACTGTGTCAGGGAGGTGGTGATCAGCTTCTTGAATGGATCATCAGTGAGATGAAAATGGATGCCAGGAACAATTTGAACAAAAATTAAATGACTTGCTATTCTATTCAATTCTATTCTATTCTATTCTATTCTATTCTATTCTATTCTATTCTATTCTCAAGGATAAGAAATCATTAACTTTAAGAGTAGTTTTTAATAACCTTGAACTATGTTTTTGAAACTCATCAGAAAACTAAAAATGTATTTTGGTTGCCAAACATTCTGTATTCCAATGCAAGGTGAATGACCCAGCCATTATTTTTCCTATGGTGTCATTACTAATCTGTACTTAAAGTCTGACTTAAAAAAAAGATGTTTTCAGTAAAGATGGAAACAACTTAAAAAAGATGTTTACAACAGTTAAGATATGGAAACAACCTAAGTGCCTATCAATGGATGAATATATGGGCATGTGGCTACACTTGTAATGAAATATTATTCAGCCATAAAAAGGAAAGCAACAATGTGGATGAACCTTGAGGCCATTATGCTAGGTGAAACGAATCAGAGAGAAAAATACAAATGCTCTATCACCTCACTCACCAAACTCATAGGAACAGAGAGCAGAGCAGATTGATGGTTGTCAGAGGCAGAAGGTAGAGAATATAGGGAAATGGGTGACAATAGTTAAAAAGTACAGAATTCTAACTGCAAGATAAATAAGTTCTGGGGATGTAAAGTACATCAAGGTTAATAGTACTGTAGCTAACAGTACTACATTATGACTTAAAAATTCCTATCACAAGAAAAGTATGTGTGTCTATTTGAGGCACTAACTTTTCATAATATATATCATTTCATAATATATAATATATAATATATATAATATATATATAATATATATCATTTCATAATATATAATATATATTTCATAATATATAATATATCATTTCATAATATATAATATATATCATTTCATAATATATAATATAGAAAATCACTATTTTGTACACCTTGAATTAACATAATGTCATATGTAAATTATATCTCAATGAAATTAGGGGAAAAAGAAAGGTAGATAAAAAGACTCAAGGCACAGGGAAAGTGCATTTGGAAGGGACTGATGAGATGAACTGGGAAGGTAGGACTTACCCCTGGGTATTTGGAGCCATACCCATGAGCTTGGGCACCACATCCCTGGATTTGAGATAGATAATTGCAAAATTCTTACACTAAGGTTTTGCTAAGATTGACTTAGAATTCAGGGGAACTTGAGCTTGAGGTTTGAAGGTTAAATGTGACTACAGTTAATGAGACTGTGGTTGACAACTGCTTTAAGAAAAAATAATTGTTGAATTGGTTCAATTTGTTTTGATGGGGAAGAAAAGAAATGGTTTGTTTACCTTAGAAATGTAAACAGTTTTGTTACTAAGAATGTAAACTGGTACAGCCACTATGGAAAATAATATGGAGAGTCCTTAAAAAATTTAGAATAGAAATACCATATAACCCAGTTATTTCACTTCTGGGTATTTGCCAGAAAAATATTAAAATGCTAAATGGAAAAGAAAAGTGTCTCGGTTTATTACAGCATCATTTTCAATTGTCAAGATTTGGAAACAAAACAAACAAACAAAAAGATTTGAAAACAACTGAAGTTTCCATTGATGGATGAGTTGATAAAGAATATACATATATACATTTACACACATGTAAATGTGTGTATAAATACACTCATGTACAACATATGTATATACATGTGCACACATACAATACAATACTACTTAGCCATAAAAAGAACAAATCTTACATTTATGATAATATGGATAGACTTTAATAGTATAATGCTAGGTGAACTAAACCAGACAAAGACAACTACTGTATGTTATCTTTCATACATGGAAGATTAAGGGAGAAAACAAATAGCAAACAAACTAAAGCAAAGTGTTAGGTCATCAGAACAAAATGGTGGTGGCCAGAGGGAAGGGAGAGAGGAAGTAGATAAATTGGGTGAAAGGAATCAGTTTTGAGGTGGTGGATGGAAACTAGATTTTTGGTGGTGTGTATGATGGAACATAAAGAGATAGTGAATTATAATGCTATAATCGAAAACCTATGTCATGTTACAAACTAATATTACTGCAATAAAAATTAAAAAAAGAAATAGAAATAGTTGTTCCTAGATGTATTGTACCCACTCATTTTGTCTTAAACTATAATCACTGAAGAGAAAGTCGAGTTACTATTGACACCAATACACGATTTGGAGGATGGTAGGGAACACTGTCACGTGGCATCCACTTTCCCCTGGATAAGGAGAGCCATGAGTAAGCATGTTTCTCTCTGTGTATTGCTGTGTGCAGAGGGGGCAAGTGCATTGATGTAGTGCAAAAGAGGGACTTTGGATTCAGGCCGTTCTTAGGCTTAATCCCTGGGGCTGCCCTGGCAGAGTCAGGATTAGAATACACCATTTAAAAAAAAACAGGCCAAGATTCTTGAATGCCTGCAGTGGCAGTAAGAAGACAATTTGAATTATTTTCAGTATTAAAGATGAAATCTAACTGTCTTCCCTTACAAGTATGTATGAAGACATGAAATTGCTTTGGACTGAAAGAGCGAAGTTGAATCAGTAAGCACGGTTATCTTATATTGACCCTTACATTCTCACTGATACACATCAATATATTTGTGAACAGAATAAAGGAATGAATAAACTATTATTTAAAAAAGCCGCTTGGGAAAAATAGGTTTTTCCAGAAGAGGGAGTGGGAAAACTGGGAGCCACTGTGTGGCAACAATGGCCTCCCACATCTACTTCTGGGGACAATTTGGGCCACTTCATCCTCACAAAGATCCTGAGATGGATGCAGGGGGGATGGTATTATTCCTACTCTGATGACCAGGAAAGCAGGATGGAGAGGGAAAGACCTCGGGCCCCAGGGTAGCATGGAAACATAAAGAACCAGACACCCCTCTGGGCACTTACTGCAGATACTTGGATTTTTCCAAGGGAGGTGAATTAATGAGCATCATGAAAGTTTTGCTCTAAGAGCAGCTGTGTGTTTTGCTTCCAGAATGTGTGGCTATTTCTGGTGTCCGGAGTATACTACACAGCAGTCTGAGATTTTCAGTTTTTCAATGACATGCCATAGTTATGATTCACGTAAATCAAACCTCACTTGAAGGAGCATGGAATGCTTAATAAATGCTAATATTCATTTAAAATTGACTTTTCTGAGCCTCCCTGGTGGCATAGAGGTTAAGTCTCAGCACTATCACTGCTAATGCCAGAGTTCAATCCCAGGCCAGGGAGCTGACCCACATGGCATAGCAGACCTCTCCTGTCTCACCAGCTGTTCCTCTCAGCAGTGTATTCAGTAGATCTGCCTGTTGTGCTCCCTACTCTGTCTCTGGTGAATCCTCTTGCCCTCTGCACCTCTGGCCTAGATTCCAATTCTTCTATGAAAAAATAAATCACCCACCCAGAGATGTGGGGGGTGAGAGGATTCACCGGAGACAGAGTGGGGAGCAGAACAGGCAGATCTACTGAAATACACTGCTGAGGGGAGCAGCAGGCGAGTCAGGAGCGGTCTGCTGTGCCATGTGTGTAGCTCCCTGGCCGGGGATCGATTTGTGCTGCAGTGGCTGTGGACAGCTTCCCAGGGCTGTGCTTAACCCCTTGTGCCACCAGGGAGGCCCCCTGGATTTTTCACATCTTAACCCAGACCCAGTATCTAATTTTTCTGCTTCTACCAGAGCTCTGGTTCTGCTGGGGTACGCCTTGGGCATGATGACCTGCTGTTCAGGTTTAGGGAGGCACCCATTACCTCTAAGAGGAAACACAGGAATAAGGAACCACAGGCTGTATTTGCTAAGTCAGAATGAAGTTTATTAATGAATAGTCAGAAGGGCTACTTATCAAAGAGCAGTGAAAGAGTCTGAAAGATAGAAAGAAGGTCTCCAACTCCGCCCACAGTAGGAAAGAATGAAAAGTTGGCCATGCTTGTGGAAACATGGCCCTGGGAACTGGAGGCTGGTGGACAGAAGTCTGGTGGGCACCTAGGGCCTCGGCGACACATCACTCAGCTTCTGGGAAGACGGGGTGCTTAACAGCAGGGTTCGCAGGGGCTCTGGCATCCGGGCTGGACGTAGGTGGTCAGGTTGATCCCATTCATTCCAGGGGTGGGATAGGAAGTGCCGAGCAGCCAGGTGCTGGCCACATAGGTGTCGGGCTCACAGCAGGGTGGGGGGGTATTGTCACAGCAGGTGGGCTGAAGGAGGCTGATGTCGTGTGGGCAGGTGCTGGGCAGGCAGACTCCGCAGCGGCAGCACTTGTCAGAGGAGCAGATGGTGGTGGCAGGGCCAGTGGGGATACTGCAGCAGCAGCGGGGAGCACAGCAGCAAGACATGGTGTTAGGAGTTGGGAGTTGGTTGAGTTGAGGAGAGAAGGTTCTCAATGTGTCTGTGCTTCTCCCTTCTGCTCTGGCTCTTATATACCCACCTCCCAGGGCGTCACCCTATTACCAACTATTTCCCCCATGTTTCAGTTTATAACTATCTCCATAAAAACCATCTAATTACTTAAATGTTTATTACCTAAGACACACTCCTTACCTCATAAAAAGGGTGCAGGTTTCTTTGTTGTCAAATTAGGACTCCTTGTGTCGGCTGTTTGTCATGGCACGGAGAGCTTCCTTGCAGTCTTCAAAGGCACTGAGTGATTATCTCCTGGTCATTACACATTGTTCACGAGGGCCTGGTATCCGTGGTATCTGCAAATGTCCTCGTGTTTGTTGTATTTCCAGGTGAAGAGATAAGATAGCTTGCCCACAGATGCTCTTCCAGGAACCAAAGAATCTATGTGATAATTCAGACTTTCTGCTTGCAAGAGTGATACAATTTTTAGTTTGACTCTGTGGTTCTAAGCAAGTGACTTAAGATGAATGGGTGGAATCTCTACAGAGGATTTTGCTTTTGTATAAAGAAGCACATTCTTACAGAACAGTAATAAATCATTTCTTCTCTACTCCTTTCATTCTTGCTTTGGATCATAACTTGTTTAGGGGCCTGGAGGTGGGAATTAAGACCCGTCTGGATGAAGCAACGGATGCCCTTAAAACTGTCCAACCACATCAGGAATTAAGATTAGTTAAGAGTCTCTGTATTGGACCATTTAGAGACTGAAGGGTATAGTAGCTCCCCAAATGAATTCCGTGAACTCTTGTTTCAAGGAAGATTAGAGGGATGTCTAGTAAATAAGTCTGGGAAATACTGAGTTCTTCATCGATACACCCCTCAGAATCTTTAATAAATTAAAGTGCTCCATAACTCTACAATGAAGAGGCAGAGTGTGTGTTCTCCTCCAAATTTTCTTGACCATGGAATCATTTTTGTTAGTTTTCATCAGTTAGTATTCTGCGGAGTACACTTGGAGAGGTTTCCACACTGGATCTAAACCCTAATAATAAAATTAATTAAATATTTAAAGGCACAAAATGTGTTTTGTGTGCTGCTTCAGAATATGTATGAAAATATTAAACTAGTAAACTTTAGAAATCCATTGTTTTTAAAGTATTTGAAAAAGTACCTATTCTCTTGACTCATCTTTACATAAAATGACTCAGACTCTAAAAATAAGCAGAAAATTGCACAAATAGAGGAGTCAGAAGCCAAAAGATGCCCATCAGCAAGATAATGGGTCCAAGAAAGGCTTAAGGTTAAAACTGCGTTTGCTGTCGCCGCCTCACTACAATGATTTTTGCAGTCTTGGCTCTTTCTCCTAGAATTTGCTTGTTAGCCATTTTTTACTTCAACAGATGCCAACAATTCAGCCCAATCCTTTTCGGTAGGACACCTGCTCTCAGCCAGGCACTAAGCTCTTAACCACTCTGGTCTATTCCTCTTCACCGTGAGGATGTTGTTCTGGTCAGAGTGAAATTGACCCTCTAGATTAGCTGTGCATAAAGTTGGTGGGAAGGAAGGGGTCATGCAACTGAAGGCCCATAAAGGGAGTTGATTATAGATCTTATTTTCTTAACCAAAATAGATCGTGGAAAGAAGAGAATTTGAAGGCAGGGCGGGTGGTTAGAAGCTAGTTGAGTGTTCTCCTGGAATACTGAGGAGGACCTGATCTCTGACTTGGATGGTGTCATATTCAGCAGGAATATAGAAAAGGGGACGTGTGGGATGGCTCATCACATCATTCAGTTTTTTGGGGACCCCTATTTGTATGGCACATCATTTCCCACAGTATTCCTGTTTCAAGGTAACTAGATCATGGTAATCTTCTCCCCCGCTCACAGCTAGCATTTGTTGAGTATACCTCATGTGCCAAGCAGAGTGCTAAGTATTTTAAGTACTTATTTTTCCTTATTTCTTAAAGTCATGCAATTCTACTGTATACTCATTCCCTGGATGGTAAAACGGAGAGCAAAGATATTAAATAATGATTCTAAAGTCATTAAGCTTGTGAATGCTGGCTCACAAGCAATACCTTACACTTATTAATAAAAAGTCAGCATTTGAATGGAAATAAATTCTAGAAAATTATACATTATGTTCATTCATTGTTTTCATTTATTAATTTGTTCACCAAAATGCTTAATGCTATGCTGGGTGCAAGCATATTTCAATAACAGTTCAGATAAGGTTCTTGTTGTCAAGGTGTTCATTCTACTGGTGGAGACAGACAATAAAAAAGTAAACAGGGGTAAAGAAGAATTTTAGACAGTGCTAAGTGCCAGAACAAAATAAAACAGGGAGCGACTTGGAGGCAGAGTTGTGAGCATGCCTGCTATGGGTTGAGGGTCAGGGCTAGTCTTTGCCAGGGGAATGGGGTGTATGAAAGAGTATGATGGGTGAGATCAAGGGGGCAGACAGGTGCTAAGCTATAGGATTTTGCAGGTTGTTCTATAGAGTTTAGATATTATTGCAAGGTCATGGAGAATCCACTGGATGATTAACAAGGAGCGATGCAAGCTGTGTTCTATAGGAAATAAATGACAGTGAGGCTCCGGAGGAAACAAAAAAAAGTAGATGGTCCAGATGAGAGGAGGATCAGGGATGCCTGTGGCTGATGAGCTACTTCTACAGATGTGCTAGATTTTGGGAGATGCTTTTGTAGATGGTAGGTTAAGCTGATCAAGGGAGGCCATGGATTTCAGATTTACTCATAGTCCAGAGGATCTGAGCCCCAAAGCTGCCATCTGGGGTGTGAGGGTAGGATGTTGATGATGGGTTCAATGTGGGGCCGGCAGAGAGTGGGCTGCCAGGAGCCAGGACAAGGGGAGGCTCCAACACAATATGAAAAATGTGCCTACTACCAAGTTCCTGGACTAAGATAAAAGATCATTTTATGTGTGTTAGTCACAGCCTGCTGTAAGCCTGGATGTGCCTTACCCAGGTCATCTCCCAGTGACTCCGCAGATTTCAGGGTGGCTGTCTGTCCTTCAGGAATCCCTCCCATGACCGCACTGCCCGAGTCAGCACAAAGGCAGTGTTGGGAGGCTGAGGATTCAATTCTCTGTGACGTCTCAATTTTCTGTAAGCCTGATGGAACCCTTCATCCCTTCACAAGAGCAGGATATAAAAGCCTATGCAAGGTGTCATCCTAATAAAAATGCCTGTAAGTAAAGATATTTGGCCTTTATTTTTATTTCCTCAATGCATGATCTTTTACATTTCTGGTGAATTCTTTTATAATAGAGATTGGAAGAAAGAATGTCTGGCATCAGGACTGCTGCTGACATTGATCCTTCCAGTGCAGATTGTCCACTTTGCTCTTTGCAAATCAAGGGATTCACATCTGGGTTAATGGTGGACTTTGGGGACTGTTTCCAGTTGCATCAGAGGAATCTTCCAGAGTGTGTTTATAGTTAAGATTTTTATAACTCTCGCCCACTCATTAGGCTGCCCTGATGATTATTCTTTAATTGGATTTCTTTCATATGGAAGTCTTTTTTTTTTTCATTTGAGGACAGGTGATATGGGCTATCATGTAAGTGTATGTGACCTAAAGGGGCTCATTCTTCTGCCCTGTCTCATGTGGACACAGATGATCTCATGGAGTATGCCAGAATGGATCACACAGTACTCAGTCCCACTCTAGAGGAAACATTTATAAGTTGTTTCTTAGCTTGGCTGGAAGTGTTGGCTCTTTAAAGCGAAGAGGAATAAATGAAAACTGTGCTATTTAAAGAGCGGGTTGACTTTCTGGAGAACTAGCTGGCTGATGCTGAGAGGAGCACACTGAAGCTGGCTCTATAAAGGTTGAGAAAACTGCCAAGTTATTTCTTCTGCTGGCTGGAAGTGTTGCTTATTTTTCTTGAGGACCCTAAACTTTCAGTTTAATTCCCATATATGATCACAGGCTGTAGAGCAAGAAGATAGTAACAGAGAATTATACACAGTGTAGTCAGGTATAAATTAAGGTAGTAACTGCTATTAACCTGCCTTTGAAATGTCCCAAATGGAATGCCTAATATATGTCAAGAGTTGGGGAAATTAAATTTTCAGTTGTTTCCTTTGTGAAATCTAAAAGGAAATATTTAATCTTCTAATTATTCTATAGTAATCCTTGTTTTTTTTTTATGCTTGGAATTTTTGCTAACAGTATCTTATGATTGATTTTATCTTAAATCAGAGATTTTTTTTTTCCTGTTTTCACCATTTTCACCATAACACCATAGCCATTAGAGGTGCCACCACCACAGGGAAGGTCCATTGGGCATCAGTCTTTGCTTGGGCTATGAGAAAGCAGTGTCTGTTTCTCTAGTGCCCTCTGCCCACTTGCCTTTTTGTGCAGGCAGTCATCACAAATATAAATAATAAGTCTGTGATTTGTTAATAATTTGAGAAAGGTTTACTACTCAGTGAGGACTGATGCAAATCTCTAACAGCTCAAGTACTGAATTCTATTATGTTTCGCATTCATATCTGTGTTAAGTGATGCATTAACATTCATATTTAAATCCAGTTCAAAATTTTAGCTAAAGAATAAGACATATTGGGACAGCTTGCAGTCATAGTAGGTCAATGTTCCTCAGTAGAAATTTGGCTTTTTGGTGAGTTGGATAGAATATGTGAAGAGAAGAGCAGAAAGGGAGGAGCATGACATTAGGGAAAAATTCCCACAAATATTAAGAATGTTTTGATTTTTAAAAATGAAATAAGTTAACATATAATTTACCTGATTTCAGGTGTGCAACATAATTATTTGGTATTTGTGTACACTGTAAAATGATCACCACACTAAGCCTAGTCCTTGTTCAGTTCTAAGAGTACAGGTGAGGAGGATAAAGAAGGACCAACCACCAAAATGGAGCAAAACCTGACTCCAGACAACCCTCCTCCTAGTGTCTCAGCTGTTTCCCCCTACACTTAAGTATCTGGCAATAGCATATCCGGCATT